TACCTGACCACAAAAATCACTCTGAAGGAAGACATTCAGCTCTGATTGGACTTTCTTCCAAGACAAGGGGGGTGTTTCTGAAACAGCACGCAGTGCCTGTAACACCTCAAGAAAATAAACAAATAAAGGGATTAAGTCATTTTCTGACAAGTATAGGGCAAAGAGTTTTACAGTTCAGCCAATCTATCGAGCTTCATTAACAAAAGCATAATGATTTATACAGAGGGGAAATACTTCAGCTAATGAAGCTTGAATATTTTAAGACCTTTTCAAAACTCAATTAGGTCTGCCAGGGTGGTTTGACGCTTTGAGCAAATACCCAGCCAGCTGCAGGCGGCAACTTTGCCTGCTTGTCTCTGGCAAGAGATTTCTAAAAAATGGATTTTGTATTTTTCAAAGTCTCTTCTCTGTATCTGTAACCTTAAGAGTTGAAGCATTGCTTTGAGATAGAAGTACTTTATGTCTGGCTTTTACTAGGATTTTTAAGAGACAACAATGTTGAATATTTTTAGCCCATAACAATAAATGTATATAATGTCAAGGTATTTGCCAGCATCCAATAACAATAATAAGTAATTGATTTATGTTTTGGTTTCTATGTCTTAATATATCACAGTAATCTTAGTGATGAAACAATGGCAGTTGTAAAAAATTACAATCTCACCTTTCTCTCACACTAGGTCCAGTATGTACAACAGTAGTTACCTGGGTCTGTTGGCAGGCTCCTCAGACACTTGCCAGGCAAATTAGATGCTTTTTTGTTGCTTTACCATGCTTATATCAAGCTGTGCCTTGAGTTTGTCGTGGTTTGTTGCAGTTGCATGAGTGCACAGTGTGTCACTCTGCCCTTCTCTGCCTTGACCATGAAATTGCATAATAACGCTTCACACAAGCAGCCATCATCTCTTGGGGTTTTAAGGGTGTCCTCTGCTCTTCTTCAGAGTTGTGCTGGTGGAGACCATTCCAGAAGACCTGCCCTATTCCAGCAATGACACGGCCCACGTCCCCCTCTCCTCGGGCCTCCACAGCCTCCTGGATCTGGCCAAGAAGACAGTGGAAGTTGTGTCTCCGCACTGGAACTTAAACTTTACAAATGAAAACTACAGCTCCCCCTTGGCCAGACAGGTAAACATGCTAATAGTTTCATCTACTGCACAATATCAGTCTGCTGTGAAGGGCTCCAGACTTAAGCATTTTACCACACCAGTGCCCTGTTGAATTAATCTGCAAAGTGACTAAGAGCCCAGTATTATCATCATTTTTCAATGAACAGGCATCCCATGACAAAAACAAAGAGTTACTGTAAATGTACAGTGTGATGCACTACTACATGAGAGAAGCATGGGCAGTGAAATGTTATACCTTCTCTTAATTTTTGTGATTCTTTTAACTGGTGAAGAGCACAGCCGCTGCATCAGTTGTGCCCGATTCAACAATACTTATTAAGAGCTTCCTGTCCGTATATTGTTATGCAAAAAATAAGCTCAAAAGGTAAAAAATCTTTTTGCCCCTTTATCTCTCTCCCACAACAAATAGATCTCAGAGTGTATTATACAAGAATACTTTTGCTTAACTTGAGACTCAGTACTCAATACCATCTAGACACCGATATGAATGCCAAGGGCATCTTGAGTTTTAAATAAAGACATTCGTTCAATCACATGAACAAATCAACACTAATGTAGTATGGTTTGCTATTTCACACACATTAGAGTAATAAATACATTCATTATTAAAAGCACCAATTTCCCCTTTCTTGTCAGCAGGTAGATGTGCAGTAGTCCTTTGATACAAGCCCTGTACAGACTACAGTCCTTGGTCAGTCCTCTATTTTTCGAGCCTGTTAGCCGGGCAGACTACTGTGATGGGAAATTTAAGAGGCAGAAGAGTGAACATCACAGATACAGATGGCACATGTGCATGTGTTCACAAGAGCTACACTCAATGCTGTTCCTTAAGCGTATAGAAATTCAAAATAAACAAACACAATGTCACAGAAAATCTGTTCGGCTTGATAGGAATGGCAAGAAAGAACTGTGAGCATCGTCTGTTCATCCAGCTGAACACAGTGCAATAGTGCACTCTGCAATCGGCTCTTTTGTTTCCAAAGCTCATCTGCAGACGTCTGCTCTGATTAATTTGAAGGATCACTGGCTCCAGGCCCTGAGTCAAGTGTTGTGGTCATTACCTTAGCGGTTCCACCGAACGAGCTTCCTCTGCTCCGAGTGCTCAAGTGCCAGGAGAGTAATGGGCAATCAGGCCTTATTGGGTGAGCCTGCTCCAGCAGTTGCTTTCTTGTGGCAGTGTGACTTAGCCACCAGCAGGAAAAACATTGAAAACTACACGTCTGCTTTGTGCTGATGGCTGTACCTTACATCTTTTTAGGGGGGATATGAATCACAGAATGCTTTGTCACAGGATGTATTATTTCATTGAAAATGTTGTCCTTTCTGTGCAAGGCACACACACTTTTTTATACCATACACCATAGACTGATTTACAGCAAAAAAAAATAGTGAGACTCAGGTGAGACCTCATCAGGATTCAGCACCAGTCTTATTTAGTTGCTCATGTTTCTGAATGTTTCCTGCTGTTATGATTTAAATCACGCTCGAAAGGTTCAATTTTCTCGCAAAATGTATCGGTATGATGCAGAGGAGAAGATCCTCAGTTGCAAAAGGGACTTTTAAAGCAACTGATAAGTAGAGAAGAAAACAAACCAGTTGAAGGGCACAAATACGACAAGTGTACCAAAGAAAAATCTCTATTTGCCATTAGATTAGTACTTCCTAAACACTGCAGTATGCATTCAGTGCACAGTAATTATTCCCTAGGTCTGCTTTTTAAAATAATAAATATTGCTTGCTTCTGCAGGGCCAGGACCTGTTTGAAAGACTGCTTAAGCTGGGCTCTCAGCAGGTCAGTCTGAAAGTAGCTAGCGGTCTGGGACACTCAAAGGACCTGAACAGCCTTTATGATAGTGGTGAGTTTCTGCACATTATCTGAAATGCACATTCAGTGGAACAAATACAAAATGACCTCAATCACATTTTGGAAAATAGTTCTTTAATACTTCCTTGAGACTCTGTGGTCACTAGGACCACAGCTTTTTAACAGATAGGAATAGATCCAGATAAATATTTTCATCTCCCAAAAACATTGCATCTTGCATGTTGCTTTTAAGAGTTATCAATACCTACAATTCTCCACTAGAATTTAAAATGGAGCCTAATTAGCAAGCTGTGACCTGAATTAAGGTCTCATTTCA